GGTGCGGGTGCTGGTGCTGGTGCGGGTGCTGGTGCTGGTGCTGGTGCTGGTGCTGGGTGGTACTGGTGCTCGGTGGTACTGGTGCTGGTGCTGGTGCTGGTGCTGGTACTGGTACTGGTGCTGGTGCTGGTGCTGGTGCTGGCGCTGGTGGTGGTAACAATAGTAGCAGAGCTAGTAGCAGTACTAGCGTAACAGTGCTAATACAAGTACAAGTAGCAGTACTGTTACTTACCTGCCACCGCCATAATTGGCCGCTTTCTGGTGCGAGCTGCCATATGGAACGAAGACGTGAGCAGTGTAGCTCACCGCCATCAAAATCCATGTAGCCTTGTGCGGAGCTGCTTGAGGCTGGAGCATCAACGGCTTTTGGAGTCTCGGGTTTGCAGAGTGAGTGTTCGCAAGTTGCGGCATAGGGCAAACTGACCGGCAACGCTGAACCCTTTACACGCCGACAGCTTGAATCCTAAGGCAGATAGAAGGAGCATACAAAGGAATCCTAGATCATGAGCCCAACACCCAACATCTGACGTGGGTAGACAGACCATGGGGCTTAGGATTTAGGGTTCGGGTGCGGTTCGGGTTTTGGAATTTAGCGGCTAGCTGCTCCCAACCACAACTTCCTGAGAGCCACAAAGTGACTAAGCCAGTCTTGCCAGAACAGCAGGTCAGGTGAGCCAGGAAGAAGAAGCCAAACGTCCTTAGCGCGTGGTCAACGCTTGACTAGAAGCCGAGTACTACCATATGGCACATTTTCCAACAATAAAAGCAATTTAATCACAACTAAATACAAAAAACAGACATAAATATAAGTATGCACACACAATCATTATATAAAGCATAACAGAATACATAACAACAAAGAAGAACATGACAAAAGAACGAACGAAAGAAAGGCTCCGCAAGACCACACACCCATGAGGATCCAACATATGGAGAGATGAACAAGGGGGGGGGGCGAGTCCAAAGCCTGATTCGTCGGATCTTCCTGATTCGGCGTTCTTGAAGGCCTCTGCAGAATGCAGGTGTTGAGCGCTGATGCAGAATCCTAACACCAGGGTTTACATGAAGCCAGACAAAAAAAAACATCGCAACCTCCGATGTAAGACAATGGCGCTATGAGTACCCGAACCTGCCAACTGCACGTCAGCCCATGGCTTTCCTCTACTCTCTTTCGGCCCAAATGGGAGCATTCACAACTACCCTGTTCACCCAGCTGGCTTGGCTGGGTTTATGCACCGGAATCAAAACAGCAAGCCGCTGGCGACTACGGATCAAACAGGGCGCATACAAGTAGGGAGAACTGACCAGGAAAGCTTGAGGCTTCGCAGCTTCGGATTTTTAACTCTGACGAGCAGGCTCCCAGACCCGCGATGAAGAGCAGAAAAGGAGCTCGTCAGGCATCTTGTGTATTTTTTGCTAAGTGCAGTGGCCCCTTTCTGTATAGGTTTAGGGTTTAGGGTTTACAATGGGGGGTTAGGGTTTACGGTGTTTAGGGTTTAGGGTTTATAATGGCGGTATACACCTTCCTGCGGCCAAGTGTCCTTGCGAAGAACAGAGGCATCTGACAGCTGGGGCCATTGGGCTTTATGTCTTCGGCTTCGAAGTTTGAGTTTTGGACTTTGTCGGAGGCTTGAATGCTCCACTGGTTCAGAGTTCAGGTTGCTTTGGGGCTTCGGGAGTTGGAACTCAGGGCCTGTGCTGAATTGGGAGCCTCTGTGCGCATACGTCGGAACCAACCGTGGATGCTGCATTGGTTGCAAACTGTGTGTAGACTTCTGGCTTTCTTTTGGCGGGTGCCCGCATACTTTCCTGCGCCAGACGGGTCTCAGGATTCATGAAAGGCTCCTTGTTAGCATGAGTGACCCGCCCCGGGTAAACCTGACGCGATAGATGGATCGCTGGTGGGTGCATGGTTCAGGATATTGGGCTTTCGGGTTTCCAGGCTCACCGCCGTGCTGTTTTGGTGTGCAGTGGTGTGGCTTCGTTGTTAAAAAACAGTAACACCACTCGATGACCGTTTTCTTATCTAAATACTTTAAGATTCCTTGATAGCTAGTGGCAACCTGTCTTTGCTGTCTCAGTTCGAATCCGCATTTTTATCTCGCAGTACCCCTCTACGCAGGGTCCCCTGCAAGGATCCTTGTGAGAAGACCTGCCCTAAACCCTAAACCCTAAACCCCTAAACCCTAAACCCTAAACCCTAAATCCTAAACCCTAAACCCTAAACCCTAAGGAACCGTTAAAGAAGACAGAAGTCCGAACTCTGGGAGGCCATGCACATTGTGACCCTTCATCCGGTTGCCAACAGTCCTACTCCGGAACTCTACACTCCGCCTCTGAAACGCAGCAATTCAGAAACCCCAGAGACTCAGAAATAACCCGGAGCCAGAGGTTTAAGGCTTAGGATTCAGGATTTCGGATTTCGGTTTAGGGTTGAGGGCTTAGGGTTTACAAAGTCCCTCAAGTCCCTCCATAAACCCGGATATATTTGCTCAAATTCATCCTTTTTAAACAATAACTACATGCTTGTTCCCAAAAGCACAGAAGACGATGTGCCGGGCAGCCTCTAGCACAGGTGCAGCTAGAGCGCTTTGCCGGGAGCCCTTCGCCAGAGGGCGTAGGTTGATGTGGATGCACTACAAGACCAAAAAAGGGTTCAGGGATTTAGGGCTCAAATCAAGTTTAAGACTATTGCGGCTTACGACTTTGATTGGGTTCAGGGTTTGGTGGGAGGGGTTTTGGGTTCAGGACATCCGGGACATCCTGGTGGGAGGAATCGAGATACGACTACTGGTGATAAGAGCACACCAGCATCATCAACTGCACCGCTGGCACCACTGCCACGACTGCCGCCAGCATCACCTATAATGAGCATCAACGTGGAACTAACAAGAACTCAACAGAAGCAGCAACCCTATCGTGGTCACCAGGTCATTTTCGATACTTAGAGCTGGCGGCTTTAGATGTGATTTAGGGTTGAGGGTTTAGGGCTCCATCGTTGGGATTTGGAGAAGCATGATAATTCCAAGACCGAAAGTCGCAGGCCACTCAACTCCATCGTTGCCAGTTTGGCTGAGGCTCTTGGGAATCAGGCTCAACGTTCGGATTTAGGGTTTCCGGTAAATGGTCTAAGGATTCAGATGAACCCTGGGACCAGTGAAAGTAGGACGAGTGGCTTCCTGTGGCCATTTGCCCTCTATGCAGTCAGATCAACTGTCTGTCGATGTTACTTCAAACCATTTAAATCTGCACTGGGGTCTCTCCTCTTCGGAAAAGCCTATAACAATTCCAAGTGGCACCATCATGCCATAAGGAACATGGACTGTGGCACATTGAACAAGTTCCAACAGAGTAGGTCCTACTTACAGGTACAGACATACTTGCAACCGTGCGTATGTGTGTGTGTACACAGAGTACTACAGAGCATGCAAGCAAACAGCTACAGAATGGGTTCAAGTGAAAATGTACAGGTCTCTAGTACATGAATGCATCGTGACATACATCCACACATCCATGCATGCATCCATCACTCCAGCCAACCATACATACATGCATACATACACATATACGTACAGACATGCGTACTTAGAGGCAATACTACAGATACAGTACAGTACAACTCAATACAGCACAGTACAGTACAATACGTCACAACACAGCACCCCACAACACGACACGATGCGACACATACAGTACAGCACAGTACAATACAATAAAATACAAAACAACACAAAACAACAAGTACCTGTGACAAGCGTGCGTGCATGCGTGCATGCGTACGTACGTGGGTACGCATGCCATATGTGCGTGTAGGAAATCGTCAGCAAACCATCAACTACAGCTGCGCATGCGCAAGATCGTTTACGGTTCTCGGCATCAAACCATGATAACTGCAATGCGTTGTAAACTGTTATCATGCGGTGAAGACAGCAGAAGCATAGAACCCTCTGCCGGAGGCTAAAGGGTGACCGCCAAGGTAGCTCCCACCTCTGCAAAAGACGCGATGTTCAGCAGCTCAATATGGTCCCAACCTCCATGGTTACATTGTTTCGGCTTCTTCTTTTCGGAATGAATCGAGAAGTGTCAGGGATTTCGGGTCTGCATTTTAGGTTTCAGTGTTGCGAGGTTCAGGTCATTGGGCTTGGACTTCAGGGAAGGGAACCCCATGCTCGATTTCGACCAGCGCGTGGGGCTTGGAAACCTAACATGAACATGGGCCCTCAACCCTAAACCCTAAACCCCATTATGTAAAAGAATCGCCGCCTCATATCAGCTGAACAAAGTCTCCGGCTTGCGGATTTCAGGCCGCTCCGCTGGGCACTTGGCGTTTAAGGCTTCCGGTAGACCCCTAAACCCTAAACCCTAAACCCTGAATTTGAAGCCTTTGGGGTCGTCTAGATCGCTGGTGACTCACAGACACTCGAGCATCCCAACTCAACGCCTAACACTCGTAGTTGCCAGCCCAATACCTGTACCCTCCGAACACAGACTATAACAACTCCTAACAATAGTTTTTAGTATGTAGTTCCCACCCTAAGTCCGAAAACCCCAACCTGGACCGTAATTAGCTACCACTTCGCGCCAATGACCTGCTGCCAAAACCCAACGATTGGGACTATGTACAAGGGGCTGGAATGAGCAACAGTATCCCCCTATTGCCCCCTTTTTTTGCCAGAATGCATCCCCAAGACCACCGTCTTTTTCCAAAATGGACCCCGGCCTCCAACGTAGAAGACGAAGAAGCCGAGGGACAAAATTCCCCAAAACGCGGTCCACAGTCCTTGGCAAAGCGGCAAGGCCGGGGTTTAGGGTTTATGTAGGGTTCAGGGTTAGGGTCGGAAGCCTGAATACTTCTTAAGCCTTTGTTTTGGGGTTCCTTGTTATGAGTATAGCAGAATACACCCCAAGCCCTCTAGGTTTAGGGCTCAATATGGAAGCCTGAATGATTATAAATGTCTTCATGTTGGGCTTCTGGCTGTAAGCATAGCAGAATACACTTATAAACCCTGTTCAAATTTTTCACCCTAAACCCTAAACCCTAAGCCCTAAGCCCCGTTCTTTCGAAACCCTAGAACCATGCCCAAACCCGACACGAATGCTTCGGTCAAAAATGAGTGAAAGCTCCGAAGCCCGGAAGTATACGAACTTCAATGAGAGGATTTGTTCTACTGAATTTAGGGGTGTGAATAACGAGCAATCAAATTCCCGCATCCCTTTTGTATTGTTGTGCGAATATACCGCAAAACCCTGTTCCAATGATTCTGGCCCCATACTCGCGAAGTTTGCGGAAGGTGTTTGCGGTTTAGGGGTCCAGGGCGTGATTGTAGGGTTTTGGGCTAGGCTCGTTTCAGGCTTGCGATGCCCGAGTTCATGGCTTGCGGGTGTCTTACCGGGCTTGTGGAGGTCTAGAGAACTTGTTCTCTGCAAGCACAGCTCCAAGCGAGCTCCAATGACTGCCACTTTGAACCAAGCTTCAGCGATGAACCTGGCTCGTACCTAGACTCCAAATCCCGAGGCCTGAGTCAGGGAGGCTCAAAGGTTCAATTTCCTTAGGCGATTTAAGAGTTCAATGCTATCTGGCGCCACGTCTACACCGAGAATCTGAGCTGCATCGTGGCCGGCGCTGATGGATTTTCGGCTCTCCAGATCAACGCCTTCGGGGTTTTTGAGTTTTAGGGCTTTAAGGCGGCGTATCACTTGATTAGGAACAGGGTCTTCATGACAATGTGGAATCTCGGTCTGTTTGGCAGGTCGTTCAGGAAACCCGAGCTCTGCACTTCTTTCCGTAAGCCCTACCCTGGAGTCAGCACCACAGGGGGGGCCCTCGAATTTCTGAGTTTGTGGGGCGACTTTGACAACCAGAGCTGCGTCCAGCAAGTTAGAGTGAAATGTACGTGAAAAATGTGTTAGACATTCTAACTACCAAGCGGCATGCAATGAGGACCAAGCACGAAACCCTAATTTAGAACAGCAGTCTCCACGTCATGTAGGAGTCCTGTGGGACGCTACAAAGTCTCTGCGCCTTAAATAACTCTGCCGAAGTCCAGAATAAAGCAAGTTTTTTGCGATGCCACTGGCCTTCTTCAAAGGAAAAGTCCAAAAACATACGATCATCAGCACCATGACGTAACCCATCCTGACAGAAACTTGTGCTGTCGTGGTTTAGCTTGGGTGCGAAATTCAACACAGCCAACCTTCAGATATGGGTGTTTTGAAAAGAAGGCTCTAAAGCTTATTGATCTCTTACTCACATCCTGGCTGGCTCTAGCTTTGGGTGGTCTTTCTGTTAAGCACTGCCCGGTTTGGGATTATTACAAATGGCATTCTCAAGATTTCGCTTCGTTTTCACGCGATCCTCATAACAAGGATCGTGTCGTGTTGATGTTGATTCGTCCGCATTATGGGCAGGCCTCGCCGTAACCCAAAGCACGTGCGAAAGCCTTACTGCCAAACGGAAGCCGCCTCAAGCGCCGAATACATTACCTCCAACGTCTAAGCGTTGAAGCAGAACTGCCAAGGTTGAAGTTTTCGGGTGATTTGGCCTGGGTTCTTCCTGGGGATCATGTAGGAGCGTGCCTGTGAATCATATTGACTGCGCCTTCGAGCAAGAAATGCCCCCTGCCAGATGAGCTCACAGATTTAAGGTTAGCTAAACGCGCCGCTGCGATCACCTTGACCCTAAACCCTAAACCCTAAACCCTAAACCCTAAACCCTAAACCCTAAACCCTAAACCCTAAACCCGAACCCTCCGTTGCCGCAGAGTCGCTGGAAAGGTATGTATGATGGCAAATTGTCGCTGTGTACTGCAAAATAGGCAACGGCATTTGCCCCGCAGCCGACCAGGAGGACTGCAAGGAGACCTCGAATGGAAAGTGAATGCGCTTCTCGTGGGTATAATGGGTATACGATACGTGTGTATACGTGTTACATCTGCTTGTATACATAAACAACCGTACTGCGGACACGCACGCATGCATGCAT